AATGAAAAAGTGTCTAAAAATCCGAATGAAGAGACTTTATATTCAACCATGTAAAAACTGATTCACTAATCGCAGCCTTTCAAATAAAGGCGTCCCTTCATCAAAAAAATGTATAGTGAATTGGTACGAAATCAAAAGTCACGTTGAAAAAGAATATATATGAAAATTCGGAATAAAATAATAATAAAATAACATAATAATATTTTTTAATCATTTTTATTAATCCGAATTTTATAAATTCTGAAAAATAATCTTTAAACAAACACAACCTTTCAACATTAAAGGAGTTACGTCCGAAAAGGCAAAACCTTCCAAAAGTGAAGTAGTTATGTCCGAAGGGACACAATTCTTCCAAAGGTTGTAGAAACGCCTAATAACCGTTAGGCTAAATAATAAATTTTGAAATTAATTAATAAAAAAATAACCGCAACTCTATTGCGAACAGTCACACTGTTTCAATAAGATAAAATTGTTATTTTATAATAACAAATTCGAAATTTAATAAATAAAAATAATAAACGAGGATTAGTGCTAATTATCATTTCCACACCCTATTGTCTTCACTTTAACAAGGAAGAAGATATTCACATATATAAAGTGACCTACCTTCTTAAAACTTTTCTATGTGGGACAAAGGAAAAAACACTATTTTGTTTATTTTACAAACAAACAACCAACAGTTGATCCATTTGTTCTCACAGATTGCTAACACCTCCAGGATTTTCAAGATCAAGCATGCACTTTCCATGGATTCCGGCACATGGTGGTGGAAGAACTCTTGCAATTGTGGAAGGGAAAATCCAACCACTGCATACGTATTGAAACATACTAAGGTGTTAGACCCACCATGCATATCCTCGGATCTGGCAGCTTATAAGTTCCTTTTTCGTGTGGTCTATGATTAACACATGTTCGAAATTGCTCCTTTTGGGCTTTGCTACAGAAGTAAAATGAAGTATTGCATCACTGTCATTGGAGAAACCGTCAAGAGATTGGCTGAGTGGTTAAACACTTGGTGTGGATCTAGTAGATCCTGTATTCGAATCACAACGTCACCATGTTTAAATTAACTCGAGGGCCAAGCTTTCTGGCCTACGGGTGAAGCGATAACTGATGGACATGGACAGAGAAGTGTTCGTGTATCTGTAGGGATTTGATCGAGCGGCAATGTTTGGATACCCCGTGTCATATAAATATGACTGTCCTAAGAGGACAAATCTCAATGTACCACCAAAAAAAAAAAGGCACGTCTTTCAAAGAGTTTCTCATGTCTAGTTGATGTAATTAGCCACTTAAAAAGTAAGGGTCAGGCGATGTCTTCACAGACATATGAGCAGATGCCCACCAAATTGCTTCCATCACAGAACAATTTCATTCATTTTTTGTCCAATGTAAAGCAATATTCGGTGTGGTTGGAGTTGGTGTACTGTCAAACTGTCTGGGTTTCTTTTTTCCTTCTTTTCAATGATAGATATTGAAAGAAGGGAAAAGACCACCAAAAACCCCAAACTTTACTACATGTGACACATTTACTTTGAATTTTTTTTTGTGACACCAAAAATCCCAAACTATGCTATTTGTGACATATTTACCCCATTGTACTTTAGTCCATGGGCATTTTCTTCTTTTTTGCTTTTTTTTTTCTTTTTTTTTCCTTTCCGGCGAGGGCCGCCCTCGCCTGAGTCGGGCAAGGCGACCCTCGCCCGACTCGGGCGAGGGCCGCCCTCGCCGCGTCTGGCGAGGGCTGCCCTCGCCTGAGTCTGGGCGAGGGCCGCCCTCGCCTGGGCGAGCTAGGGCCGCCCTCGCTCGACGCCGCGAGGGCCGCCCTCGCCCAACGCCGGCAAGGGCCGCCCTCGCCCAACAGGAAAAAAAAAAGGAAAAAAAAAAAGAAAAAGCAAAAAAGACGAAAATACCCATGGACTAAAAGTACATCGGGGTAAATGTGTCACAAATAGTATAGTTTGGGGTTTTTGGTGTCACAAAAAAAAGTTCAGGATAAATATGTCACAGGTGGTATAATTTGGGGTTTTTGGTGGTTTTTTCCCTCGAAAGAAAAGGCATTCTTCCTGATTTTCCATTCAATGATAGATCTTACTATATAATATAAAAGACAGATCACTTTTGGACGCACAGTTACTATGAATGCCTGACAGAAAATTCTTCAACTCGAGGGAACTTGTATGTAATGGAATTAAGAATCAATGACAAGAATCCCTTTTTTTTTATATATATTTTCCAAATAATATGAATTGATCCTTGAGTTTGACATATCGCGGCAAATCAGAGATCGATCCGTCCACAAGTTCATTCAATAAGGCTTCGCCGATGGGATGGTCAATGGACAGCCCGAGATTACTAGAAGGGGAGACGCCGTATTGGAATCAAGAACTTGACCACTTAGTATTAGAGAGAAGACAATGTAAAGATATTGTACATACGCAGCCTGTAACTTTTTTCTACGCATCTTACGTCTCTCACCGTTAAGATTAGCATCTAGTTAATTGCTAAAAATATAACTGTCCATATCAGTGATGTTAGACGTGAAATTCGTAAAAGAAATGGAATACGCAGCCTGCATACCTAATACATTTATCCAGAGACTATCGATTAACATTGTCTACAAGACTATCTAACTTTCTTTCTACCTATCCCCTATCTCTTAACCTTGGGACGAGCAGTTAGTTAATTAGAGTGTAGATAGGAAAATTGTATTTGTACACCTTTTGTTTCCTCTGTCTCCACCCCATGTTTGCAAAAGCTGAGATTCTGGCAGTTCAATTCATCCAAACTCGGCTTTCCTTCCTTCTTCCGGGTTCAATCCTAATCCCATATATGTTTTGATTTCTTTGAATGCTGATAACTACCCTAAGTGGAAGCTGGAGAATGAGCTCAACACGAACTTGTGAACTCTCCAAATTCTTTTGCTTGGAGTAAATGAATTCCACGTTTCTTGATTCTTGAACGTTATAGCTGTCAGATTGCATGACAGTGTAGCCTATTTAGCTCATACAATTCGGGTTCATCGGCATGATCAATTTTCACAGGGTAGCTACTTCTACCACGCGCATCCATCAACTTCGTAGAGAAACAGGTTCGTCTTTATTGCTTGTTCTAACCCCACCGCCATGATCTTGAGTAGCTTCTAAGCTTTGCGACTTTCTGTGCGTTATTTATAATTTCCCGATTTGCGAATGAAGAAACCGACCTTATTTCAATAGTCTGCTCCAACATTATTCAACAGACAACACGAGAAAAAGTAGGTGCATGTAGCTTGTTAAGAGCAGCTTGAAGATCTCTCGTGCTCTCAAGCTGCATTGACAGCTATCTTCATACCAGACTCGCAGTGACCCTCAAAGCTGCATATGAAGTAGTTTTCTACCTTCACCAGCTTTATCTGGTCATTGCCCGAAGTGCGAACTTTCGCACCTGTCGAAGTCTGGCAACCGCTGTAACCGCCGCTGTCAACTACCACCACGTTGTGCTTTAAGGGTCATACTTGAATACTGAAAAATTTCCAAGCAATGAGAAGAGCCTAATGACTTGATAAATTGTATAAGGTAACTCCAGTGGAAGCACATGCTCACAATAACTGATTCTTTCCTTGTAATAGGAAATTATCGAAATATTTGGAGGTTGAGTACATTAGATCGTAAAATGAAAGACTTCCGGTGAAGCTTTTCTCCTGGTCAAAATGTGAGGGGGCAGAAGAAACTTACTAAGAGTATCACCAGCTCTAAATCTCTTTCCATTGGGCCTGTTTTCCATGTTGAACGTCCAACCCTCAGATCCGCCAACTACATATGTCGCAACCTTGGCCTGAGGAAGAAGGTACATCACCGCAAGCCCAACGATGGCCGCTCCATATGCACTGCCTCTTCCCTGAGACATTTTGCCACGAGATTGAGGCGAGAGAGAGACTAGGATATAATGAGACAGCTACGAGGAATGCTTAGCAATGGTGCCTAGTTATGACCCTTTTTTTATGCGCAAACTGCCTCTTCTTGATGAATGATGAGCTGAAAAGAAACTTGGTAATGATAAAATTCTCGAAAACATCGCACATTTCACCATCTTTGGTCCAAGATGTTGTTTACAATGTAACATCTAGGTAGACTCCGTCCCTCCAATTGGTGATGCAAGCTGACATTGTTACCACGTTTTTTCAGGGACAAATCTTCAAGAACGTGATATATAGCCAACAATTCCACGTGAACCATGATGTCTGATTTTAACCTATTCTATACGAAAACTATTAAGGGTCTGTTTATGGAATCCATTAGAATGTTCTAAGAAAGCTATATATATATATATATATATATATATATATGTATGTATGTATATATATCCAGTCAAAAATCTCTTAAGATTGCTCCAATTAGCAGGACGATTCATCATTTCGAGGCCAAAAAAAGTGGAAGTGTTTCCGTTCCGGTAGATCTCTAAAGAAGTTGGTGAGTGTCAACAAAATTGTTTAATGTAATTACTGATTACATGATCTAGGTCAAGGATAACATCGTTCTTTCACTTACTTGTTGCCGCTTGACAAGCATGGTTCCATCTCTTAGAGCTTAAGGTCCTACCTTTTCTTGAACTAAACTGTACATAATCCTCACAGCGCAAAGCCCCAGGTGGAAATGCATGTTTTATATTTGGTATTCCAGACATAAAATACATATAACTTGACCAGATCGCAATAAGGGCATACGCCTATATGAAAGTTTAAACTAGGACAAACCAAGATACTTAATGAGGAACCTTACAATTTTCAAGGCACCGACTACAACAGACTTTGAAAAGTGCATTGAAAGTTGCAGACTTTCCTGGGGAACAAAGCTTTTGGGAACAAATTCATATTCTGCAGGACCTGAAAAGACCTTTCAAGTTTTAGGATTTTGGCACTCTTTTAATTTAGAGATTCCCAAATTGATGCTGGCAAACCAATTCCTGCGATCAGGATCCATTTTGTTTTCCCAATTTCCATCAGTCGCAAAACAAGCAGGTCATAACAAGCCAGCACATTGACTAGTGATTCTTTTGCTCATTATATAGAGCAAATATTGTACATCAAGCAAGAGAGACAGAGACAGAGACAGAGATATTCAGAATCAAAGCATTGAACGATGCTATGTTATTCCTCTCCATTACAATCAGCTTATAGTGATCTCTCATCAAGCTGCATTCACAGCAATCTTCATAGCTGACTCGCAGTGACCAGGAAAGTTGCATATGAAGTAGTTCGGCCCCTTGGCCAGTCTGATCCGGTCGTTGCCAGAATTGTAGACCTTCGCTCCCACTGGAGTCCGGCAACTGTCGTAACTGCCCTTGTCCAGCGCCACAACGTTGTGGAGCGTCCGGTCATACTTGAATACTGCAATAAATTTACCAAAAACACAATCGCTAGCTACAGTCGCTCTCCCATTAAACAAGATAAATCTATGAACCTTAACAAAAGAAGGTTGTATTTTCCTCTGTCCTATGATTGTATTTTCCTTTGTCCTATGCTTTCTGGAATCATTTAATTATCAAATACAAGTGATTGAGGATGGTATCAAATGTTCTATAATTAGATGGATGTGGGAAAATAAACTTACTGAGAGTGTCACCAGCTCTGAATGTCTTGCCTTGGGGCCAGCTCGCCATGTTGAATGTCCAGCCACTAGAGCCACCAACCGTGTAGGTCGCTGCTCGAGCATACTCGGCTTGAGCAAGGAGGTAAATTAGCATGAGCGCGGCGGCGGCGGCGGTTCGAGATGCACTGCCTCTTCCCTGAGACATTGGTTTGGAAAGGCGAACGGGTTGAAGGAAGACACAGATACTTTAGCAGAGAAGGTGTGCTCTTGTGGAGGGATGGCTTAGTGGGTTTATGAAAAATGAGTCATGACCCTTATTATATATGGTTTTGGAAGAAGAGAAAGCGGCAAGTGGTCCACTTGACGTGGACGAATGGGCATGAATTAATAAGGCTCGTTCTTGGGGGAAGGGTACATTTCACGAATTGATTTAATAATTTGAAATTGCATACGGCAAGTTTTTCAAAGGCAAGAAAATGGGTTAGGCTAATTAACATAATTCAACGAATTTATTGATTTTCTTTGCTCTATGGTTTACGATTGTCAAAGTTAGGCCTAAAGATTACATTCCACTTCCAAGATATATATGAATGTGGAAAAACAATGTGACATAGTACAACGCACAATATAGTGTAGAAATTAATTGCCATTTTGAATTTTTATTCCGAACGTTCTATTTAATCGAATAGGGCAATGAATTGGATAAATGTGTCATCGAAGGACTTTACTATCGATAGTTGGGCACTTCTATTGTAATTTAATGTTTAATCGACTAATTAAATTGGAAGATTTGCTGATTTGCTATGAGCTTTTGATCCCCAATTGAAGCCAAGACTACCAATGCCCGATGAGTTATTATATCGTCCACCGCCGGTGGAATGTAAAGCAGACTTTATATATGACCTATCCAACTTTTATTTCATTGAAGAATGCAAAAGAAACTTTTGTATGACTGTGCCAAGATTTTTTATTGTTATTTTTTGGCCAAACTTAAGAAAATTAATAGCTGGGAGCATCGGATATGGAGAAAAACAATTTTGAAATTAGTCCCACAGCTTTAATATAAATACTAAATTGTTGGTAGGCTGCTTTCCTTTGTGAATTTATAGATGTAGGATGCAAAAATTTTCCATAACGTTTAATTGAGAATTCACAAGCACTAGCTGCTTCAAGGTGGTCCCCACTCCTTTGGTCTTTATGTGCTTCATTTCCTCTATTTTAGCCATGCCTATGGTTAGACCACAGTTGAAATTTGTTGCACTTCATCATGATGGTAAGGCGATGCCTCTAGTCCGTGACACTCCGGTCAAACAAAAAAAAAAACTTTTCATCTTTCGGGTAATCATGACACCCCAAGACGGTGATAGTGCGATGTAACCGACCCATCGTCATTCTCCGAGTGCTATGAATCTCATCCTCGATGGCGCCACGTGTGTTATGCAACGCACTTTTGATTGGCTTATTACCCCACTTGTCACTGCTAAAATGGTGTAATCGTCACATAAAATATTCGTTAATAGATATTTCAATGATCAATCTCATGGATTCGATTCATTTTTGCGAATATGAATTTAAACTGCTACAGCATATATAGACTACTTTATAATTATTTTGAGTTCACGTTAGAAAGGAAAGATATACGTAGAGTACTAAACAATTTTCACAAATTTAAATTTGAAATGTGGGGATGGATAGATTGCTTAACTATTTAATTACTTTGGTTATCATAAATTACGATTTTATCTATTAAGGATTCGATGGTTTATGTATCGTTATACTTATTGTTTCCCACTATTTTTATATCTATACTGGAATCATATTTCCTTTATTGGGCGATTAATCCACCTCTCGTTGCCTAAACAACGTAAAAGCGTGGATGTACTCAGGATCTGACTTTTAACGATATGGACTCGAACTCATGCTAAAAGAGGGTCATGGCGTGGCTCTTTTCAAAGACTGGTCTCTGCAGCAGTTGCAGTTGCAGTGCAGTGAGTGGTTCCAGTCTCTTGTACAGTCCAAACCACTGCCATATGAATCCACGAATCACATGGCAGGTCAGGTTTCAGACGCCCCCGCCCGTGATCTTTGAATCGCTTGCCTCCTGATATTTGCCGAAGGGGTGCGACAAAAAACTGAGTCCCACACAGGACAGGAGACAGAGACTTCCAACGTTCATTACATGGTTCATTCTAACGTTGCACGTTTCGTCATGGCTCGGATTTAATGATGGCAGGGAAGGATCTGCCTTTTGCCACCCAAAGTACTGACTGACCTTCTGATGTTCTATCGATACGTTTCCTATGATCCTATCATCTAAATGATTTATCTTTTGATTTTATTTGAAGGAAGGCGCTTGCCTTAAGTCATCTGGTGAAGTACCCCTATCTTGAGCCAGCTTAATTGGATGCAACTCGCTACCTAAACTACAGGATCAATGCAGAATTGTTAATGACTAGTGGCAACGTAAATTCACACAAACATTATGGATTGTGTTGAATTGTGCACGTGATTCGTGCAATATTCTGATCCCATTTATAATCTTTACAGGCGGATTTTCGAGGTTTAGTCTTTTAGGATCAAACCCATATGCTGAAAACACTTATAATAGGTTGTCGATTTTGGGTTGTTCGGTCATTAGAGAGACAGACAGACTTAAAAAAATTTATATGTAATTACTTGGCAATAGCATAGCAAAAGCATTCATATTGAGAAGAGTCCAACACCCTCTAAGTGGTGCATCTATCATGCAAACACGTGGGTCATTACATGTTTAAAGACTGGAAATTGGCTATTGCTCCACTAATTAGTAGAATTACTGTGTCCATCTAACTAAGGGAAACTGGAATTGGAATTCAAAAGTAGCCGCACATAGTTTTATTACTTTCGGCTTTCGCAATTACCGTGAATTTACTCCAACAGCACTCCTTAAATTCGAATACCGTGGTTCAAGCTCAAACCAGGACTCCAAGCTGACCAACTGGTTAAATTCCTCAAATGTAGCCATCTTGTCGAGGTCAGCTCTTGTAGTTCCCTTCTCTTTGAAGGACTTGAGGACATCGACAACGGTGCGCGCTGAAGCATAGAGCGCCGTGAGCAGGTGCATGATCAAATGAAAGCCCATCTCTTTCAGCTCCTTGGGAGTGTGCAATGGTGTGACTCCACCTCCAATCATATTGCATACTCTGTAGCCTTTCGTATGTCGTCCTATCTCCTTGACCTATCTCCTTGAGCTCATCGTCATCCCTTGGTGCCTCCACAAAGCATGCATCAGCTCCTGCCTGCAAGTTTTACAATAATCAACACAAGTTAAGAAACCAAGAAAATGTTTTCAATTATTCATTTCAAACGAAATTCTATCAATGCTTTAGGAGGAAACACTATGCTCCATCTTGTAGAGTCATGAAAGAACCAATAAACATTATCCAAACAGCTTGACCATCCTGCGAATGCTAAGAAAAGATTATTGGATTCACATGGTAAAATGAAAATTTGACAGAAATCATCATGCAAACACTCGAATGGTTAAGATAAGATAAGTTGCTCATATTTTCTTTCCTTTTCCTTCTTCAGACAGAGCATTAGACAGCAAATGTCTTGACGATTCTAGCCATCAGGTAAACAACCAAAAGATCTTGGACATGTAATTTTCGTGAAGAGCAATTGTATCCCTGCCCGAAGTAAACAAGTGAGCTCAATCACCCCAGTTCCAACTGAAAAAGCTCTAATTTTGACTTCACAAGCCACATTCACAACCAGTCTAAAAATATGACTTCCCCAGGATGTTCCATCAATAAGCTTAATCGCTGAATTCCTTATGTTGCAGAGAGCAGTATTGGAGATAATGGGTGATAATGGGTGTCCAGAGCGCAAGGGTTCAAGGAGAGGCAAATGGAACACAAACTAAGAAGTCATATGATATGATCTACACTTGAATTATGGCAGAAGCTGCATGAGTTTCTGGGGAATGAAGGTATAGAATGAAAAAGTGAAGATGTACCAATACATAAGATGCCAAAATGTTTATTTCTTGTGATTTAACTTTGGGTTGAACATCTAGTCATCACTTGAATACTTTAATAATGTCAAGAAAGAGCTCCGCATATTGACTGTAAACCTGTGTCTCAGCAGGATGACCATGTGACTCCCACTTAGATCAGTATTTCTGTTTCACAACAAACAGAAGCCTCATTCAATGGTAGACCATGACAAAGAAGCAGAGGATTGTCAACCAGTACCTCCATGTAAAGATTAACCCTTGCAATGGCATCAGACAGGCCAGTTTTGGCTGATGTTGCACGTGCATCGGTCCTAGCCACGAGGAAGAAGTCAGAATTCCCAATAGCATCCCTTGCAGATGCTATTTTAGCAGCATGCTCCTCAGCTGGTATGACCTATAAATGAGGCTGTTCGAGAGAAATCGCAGTTTTACGTGTTTCTATGTTCCTAAGTGTGGAAAGAGAAAATCGCAGCTCAAATTCACCAAGGGCAGACTTCTGTACCTGCTTACCACGCATATGCCCTGAAATGACAATGATAATGATACTTATCAGCATGCTAAACATAAAGAGGGAAGAAAGGACATGTGCCTGAGCTCCATGAGAAAGAGATAATCTTACCACACTTCTTTGGCCATGCTTGATCCTGAAGAGGAAGTAATTTGAAATCAGTAGATGAACAGTTGTCAAACAGAACTCAGGAACAACTTACTCAAGAAATGACAATTCACCCAGAATTTGCTAACAAGGTGTATACATGTGATAACTTCTTTCACAGGCTGTTCAACTGAATAAAATTCAACATATCTGAAACCGAAAGATAGGATCAAACTTGACTAATTTACAATTTGGGACTTCGTAGTTCATACTAGAACTTTAGCGCTTATGTAGTGAGTAATTAAAAGCAAAGGCTGAGAGCTTTGTATAAGGAGCAGCGTTACATCTCTCTCAGCTGAAACTAGTACCTCTAGAAAACAGCCAGCAGCTCCTGCTGCTATCAAGTCTTTCACAGTCCTTTGAACATTCAGAGCATTTCCACCTCCAGTATCTACAATAATGATAATCTTCTTTTATGGGTAAAACTCATAATTAAAAGAGCCAAATACCAAAAAAAAAGAGAAAGATTCAATGAGAACCGTTCAGACAGTAGTAAAATGAAAAATTTAAAATTCAGCAACATTTCTCATTCCCAAAGTATGCACACAAAACAGAACTCTCGTAGCTTTCCCCTCCCCTGCAACAGCGCAGCAGTACTCACCAGATCTTCTTCATCTCTTTCTTCTTATTCACCACTTCATGCATTTGCAACTCAGAACTGAATGTGTAGTCTACACTTTTGAAAGTTCCAAAAACCCAGATATGACGATGAGCATAGTGACATGCAAATTGGGGGCAAACAGAGATTCGTATAAATGTTCCCGTGATTTTGGAGGATTACGGAGTCGATCTCCTGCTGAAAACAACCACAGAACTATGTCCGGTTATCCTGCTATATTTCTTGAAAATGGAAAAGATGTCAAACCATAGGAAATGTCATTACGCAAGTCGAGAGATGTCACTGCAAAAATTTTCTGTTTCCTTGCTGACATCTGCTTCCCTCTCATTCATAGCTGGACTCATCATCCGCCGCCCAGCAGATGGACAACAAGTAAAGCACTTTGGCAGTTATTTGTCTTATGTTATTTCTTGAGTTGTCCATGCTTTTTTAATGCTCAAGAACCACTTAGTCAAATACCGAATCGAAATTCTATTATAAAAGTATTCTACTAGGCAGGTCAATTATCCGGTTCCTCTTCTCTCCTGGTTCATATTTTTCATCCATCGCTTAGTTAGCATGTGCTAAGATTATCTCGCTGCATCGGCTTGATCGTGAAGGAAAATGTTACGGAGAAAATGCAAATCATGCTCTTGGGCTGTCTCTATTCTATTATGCTTTTAAAGCATTTTTCTTGGTAGTTTGTCCTCTTCAACAAGTTCTTAACATCTCCATCTACATATAAACAAAGTATCCTACAAACATGCATTTCGCAATCAGCATTCCATGCTAAATGCAAATCAAGTGGCGCAGTTCTCAGCAAATCAATATCAGGGGAATCAGCTGTAAAAGGCAAATTCTCTAAGTTATGTGACAAATGAGCCTGCAATTTCACCTGCGTCCGCAATTATCGGTATCAACGGAGCCGCCGCGCAGACCGACCTCGCAGTCGCGGCCATTTCCGGTGGCCTGAAGACATTCAGAAGAAACAGAGCTCAAAGAATCCAACTTTAGCATCGCAAACTCACAACCCACTTCACATGCAAGAGCGGAGAATCACAAGCTAAGGAGCTGAGCTCACGTCAAGAGACCGAAGTCGGGCTTGCCGAGGAGCGACGCGGAGAGGGCGTAGCCGGAGATGAAGCCGGCGGCGAAGCCCGCCTTCTGGACGATCGCGGCGGAGAGCGCGTCGTAGCAACCGGGCATCAGGACGACGCCCTGATCCTCTATCAGCCGGTGCACGCGCGTCCGCCGCGCCATCCCGACCGTCGGATTGGCCGGCCTCCGCGGGAGCCTCGGCCTGGACGTGGAGTAGTGGAGTGGCAGGCCGGTCCGGTGAGCCGCCATAATCGCCGCAGACATTTCCGAATCACGGGATGGAGTGAAGAAGTGGGAGCAAAAGAGTGGTTTTTCGTTTCGGAAAGAAACACACGACAACGCGTGTGAAGCGCTTTGGATATGGACAAGGTACAAGCATGCGGTGCGGCGACAAGTGTAACCAAACCAAGTCCGACAAACACCGTCTACTAAACTCATCTTCATAACCTCACGAGTAGATTTTGCAACTTGTTGAGGATTACCCACCATGGAATGAAAGAGAATTCGGGAACATTTGGATCAACCCAAATCAACTTGCACCAAGAAACCTCAGGTCTATGAATCCTGACCAAGTTCCAATCATCAACCGGCGTAAAGTTACCACCTTTTGAACCTATGAATGCAACGATGTCTGAATTTACAGAACCGGAACGAGCAAGGAGGCCAAAACAAGTTGTCCCCCTCAATAGTGGTTTCATCTTTGGCATACGAAGGGATCCCAGAACCATAAATGGCTCTAGCAGGATATGCTTCAGACAATGAGATTCGGAGATTTACCATTACCAATGAGAAAAGGAACATGAGGTTTCAAGTAATGCCTATCTTCCAGAATTTTCCCCCAAGAATAGGTATTATCTCCCTTTGGTTGAGCTGTCCAATGGAGACCTCACCAAGAAGATAGTGAGATGTCCAGGCAACTCGTATAGAACAGCCTGCAGCGACAATTTCTAGAGGTTTTAAAGAATGCATGCAAGATTTCAAAGTGCTAACTGCCTGATGCCAAAGTTCACATTTTGGCATGCATCCCAGGTCATCTTTGCACCTCCTGCTGAGTCAATTTGGCCCGCCCTTAGATAAGCGGCACTCTTTCTTTCCACGATTATATGATCGTCTTTTGAGGGAGAAAAGATTTGATGCCAGTAATAGTTAACTACTGTATAGACCACAGCTTGAGAGTTCAAGTCTACTAGTATATGACAAGTGGTTAGAAGTCCAGGTGCTCATTCTTGCAGCGATCTTCTCAACAAGGGGCTTACACTCTCTATCACTAAGGCTCCCTGAGATTAAGGGAAGACCAAGGTACCTCACAGGCAGAGAACCCCTGTAAAACCCACTTAGATACATCATATCAGCAATATTAGATTCATTACAGCCTACAAGAAATAATTCAGTTTTTTCTAGGGTTGAGTTTCAAATGAGACATAGCTTGAAACTTTTGAAACGGTGATAGAATCTCATCTAAAGACTCCTTATTTACAAAGGATCATAACATCATCTGCCAAGATTACACATTAGCTTCACCTTTGAGCAACAAAGATGATATTAATTCTACCTTGAGCTGCAGACTAGTCAATCATTCTAGAGAATGCCTTCGTGGCTATAACAAGCAAGGTGACAGAGGATCTCAACCCTTTCCCTCCTTTAAAGAATCCTTCAAACCCTCCATTAGGAGATACAGAGAAGTATGATGAAAATATGCAGACCCCAGTCCAAGAAATGAAATGAGTAGGAACCTGAATAGATTCCCACACAAACATACAAGAAATTCCAACTAACTGAATCGAGAGCCTTCATCAAGTCAGCCTTTATCATCCCTCAAGGAGAAATCCGTTGTCTGTGGTAATTCTTTACAAGTTCATGTGCTAAAAGCACATTATCTGCTATGCACATAATTGATTAGTATTAATAAATGCAGGAAGCATTTTCTTCTACCTATTAGCCAACACCTTAGTTATGCACTTGCAGGTGATGTTGGTCATCCTCGAAGCATTCTGGCCCTTTGTGACTGGAGTAATGGCAGTAGTGCTGACCCTTTGTGGCAGCTTGGATGTATTGAAGAAATCCAAGATAGCAGAGGAGAAATCACGCCCCACAATAGACCAAGCATCCTTGTAAAATTGGGCTGAAAATCCATCAGGATCAGGAGGTTTATCCCCACTCATTAGCCATAAAACATCCTTAACTTCTAGAGCTGTGTCAGGATAAGATACAGAATGTTGCTGCTCTGCAGACATCTGTAACTCTGTAAGATTAAGCAGCTCTTGTAATCCAGAGATAGGAGTAGATTTTCCCGGCAAATTCTTGTACAAATCAACAGCCACAACAACTATATTTCTATGTCTCATGACCTTAGTACCTTAGACAGCAGTCTCAGAGAATTACTGGATTTCCTCACCTTTTCAACTTTGTAAAAATAGCTAGTGTTACGATCACCTAGCTTAAGCCAAGTGATACTAGATTGCTGTCGTAGAAAAGACTCCTCATCTGCTTTAATTTTCAAAACACGAGCTCCAGCATTAAAGTCTTCAGATAGAAGCACATCATCAGGATTGCTATTAAGAATCGATTGTTGTAAGGGAGACCGATGGGTATGAGCATCTTCAACTTGGAGTGAAACCTGATCAAAATATTGCCTGTTCAAATCCTTTGAAACCTTCTTAACATTCCTTAGCTTTTCATAAAGGATTGCCATGGGATAGCTGGATTTATGCACTTCCAAGCATCCTGAATAATCTTCATAAATTCAGGATGTTTACTCCAAAAATAATAAACTTAAAAGTTTTGGAAGGGTGGTAATCATCAGGGAACATCTTAATGAGTTCAGGACAATGATCTGAGACAGTAGGATCAAGAAAATGAGCATTATAGTGAGGGAGTCGCTGAACCCAAGCCTCATTCACCAGAGCTCAATCAAGCTCTCAAGCACCAAAACTTTCAGTCCTAGGATCAGTCCAGATGAAGAAATGTGCTGTCGAAGTCAAATTCTGAATCTCTGCATATAACAAGAACTCCTTAAAACAATCCAAATCAGGAATATTAGTAAATCAGCATTACTTGCTTGGATCAAGGATAGTCTTACAGTCTCCAGCCAAGAAGCAAGGAATAGGCACACTCCTTGCCAACCCAGTGAGTTGGTTCTACAGAGCTTGCCTCTTCCCAACATGATTAACAGCATTAATGGCAGTAAATAGAAGGGATAATCATGATATTTCACCAAGCAGTGGATAAACTAATCACTGTGTTCAAGAACACTTACATGTATAGAAGGGTAATGCAAGATCCATATTCTGCCAGAGGGACAGTTCAAATAGTAGTGAAACAAGACTACCCAGCAAATCTAGAAGACACATTGTGAGAGGCATTTGCTTCTTTAACTCTAGTTTTCAAAATACATGAAGGCTGCACATTGGTTTGTCGAACAATTAATTCTTTCTCTATGCTTATGGGCTTATTAAAGCCCCTCAGGTTCCATGAGAGGATTTTCATGACAAAAAAAAAATGACTGCTGGTTTTTCCAGACAGTTTCTTCAACTCAGCATTCACATTACCTCGACCCTTCTTGCCCCCACTGAGGTTGAGTTATCGGCTTAAACATCTCTTGAGCAGATTTAGCAGCAGCTCTCATCTGCTTAAGCCTAGATGAAGAGTCCACCAAAACATCCTCCATAGAAGCCATAACAACATCACCAACTAGCTCAGGCAAATCATCAGAAGAAACATTTCCAACCTCTACATTCTCATCATTCGCAAGAGCAACGAAAACTTATTATAAATTATCATCATCACGAGTCAAGAGTCTTAGGAGAACCAACTTTCGATCACTGACAAGAACACCAACCTGCTGAGACTGAATCTTTTGAACCTGTTTAGGAACCCACCTCTTCTTCAATAAGGGACACTCAACTATTGACGCGGGTGGATGAGAATGTCGTACTCTTGGCGTACCAAATTAGATACTTATCTACTACGAAAATGCACGAGGCTGCGTATAGAAAAGACAATCAGTTATTCAGACAATATTTCATCCAAATAGTGTTTTTCTCCAGCAATATCACGTCACGTTATGCTTCTTCACATATTGCGAATACCACGTATGGATAACATAAGAATTTCCGAACCACACGGGGATGAGATGACTCGCTTGAGAACTCCAAACCCAAAATGAGATATGCGCAGAAATTTGAAATTGACATGCCATACACCATCCTCGTTATAATTTCAGACCAAACACATTGAAAAATGTTCGCAAAACGATGTGTAAATTTGTACTTTCCATATGTCGGACTTGGATATATCAAATTTTCAATAAAATTGCCCTTTTTTTCTTACTATTGACTACTTTTACATCTTTGCTATTATTGGATGAAAGTTATTTCACATTCGCGGCATCATGTGGGTTGAGATACATCTATGAATGTCTATTGTCTTGTGTCATAAATGTACCTGCCTGGCAAGCATAAGCAATGATAGTTATACAGATATGTATGGTTATAACTTATATATATACACACATACACATACACACACTAAAAGGCCAAACAATCTGTAAATATACTAGGATCTTTAAGAGAAAGGGAGAGGGAAAATACTCAAAGGTTACATCTTTACTCAATAAGATAACTTTTTGAAGTTACAATCAAGGGTAGTTATATCTGAACTCTATGTATAGGAAAGAAAAAAAATATAATCTAACAAATAAATTAGCTATTTTAATCTAATGGGAAAATTACACAAACAATCCCTGAACTTTGACCTAATACGCAATGTGGTCCCTGTACTTTTAATTTGTTTAATATTGTCCCTGAACTTTTGGTACATGTTTAATGTAGTCCCTGAACTTGAATTAATGGAAGGACTACATTGAATATTTGCATATAGTTCAAGGACTACATTGAACATGTACCAAAAAGTACAGGGACCATATTGAATAAATTAGAAGTTTAGGGACCATATTGAACATTAAGCTAAAGTTCATTGATTACATTGAACAAATTAAAAATTAAAGGATCACATTGCACATTGAACCAAAATCCAAGGACTATTTGTATCATTATCCCTATTCTAACAAATAAACTAGCACTTGATAAAAAAAACAAAAAAAAATCAAATAATAACTCTAATATCGAATGATATCTCTATCAAATCACAGAGAATTTTCTAATATCCATAAATGTACTTCCACGAAGATAAGTGCAACTTTCTTTCAAAGTCTGCAACCAAAGCACCGCTTATACTAGATAAGTGATGTGGATACATCGAATCGAATTTTAAACAATGACAATTATACCTTACATGACAAATTGAACGTAATCTATATCATCATTGGATTTGATGAGGGCATGTCTTTCTCACACAACCTTCATAAAACCGTGTGGAAAACTAACTTGCATTGCAATGAACTAAACCGCATTACCTCACGATGATCAATTTTGGCTGCTCGATGAAGGTTTGCTAGACTCCAACGCTCTTAGACATTGTTAACTGTTGATTAAATTGGGAAGTCTGAGGATTAGTAGCTTGATTTTGATAGAGAAGCAGAACCAAAGACCATCATTGAGAAGGATGAACAACGGAATGAATATAGAGACCTGAAAAGCTCGACTTTCGGTAGGCATCACTAGTACAAGGATGCCGGGCAAAAGACCAACAAGGCCGCTGGAAACGGCAACTACCCTTGACAACGACGGAGAGACCAACTACTCACAATATAGAGATGCACTCGGAGACAACCAAAGCAGATTTGCGACGCGACAAGCAAAGGATGGTGGTGCTACTCTTCAAGACGTTTGGTTGTGGCTTTTCTCAAGGATGAAAATCGGTGGACCAAAAACAAAGGACTTGGAACGATGAACGGTAATGGTGTCAATGTTAGGGTAGAAATGGAAGAAATGAGAGAGAAAATACTCGAGGGCTACCACCTTTACTCAATAACCTAACCTTTCAATTTGTTGCAATTAAGAGGTATTTATATCTAAACAACATGTATCTAAAAGGACGTAACAAGAAATTTAGCTATCATAATCTAACAAGAAACTAGCTTTCCTAAGAAATAACACAGTATGAAATAATATCCATAGGATTTAATATGTCTGGCAATATATTTTACTGGGGAATTTTCTGAAATTCATAAATGTACTTCAACAGTTCTAAAAAAAATTGGAATTTCATGTTTATAGAAAATTATGAGAGCCGTGGTGCTGTTAACTTTTTGTAAGCCTTCTCATAGCAAAGCATAGGACATTTTCACATACCTGTCCACATACTGAATTGGTCTCTCTACTAACTATAAAATCACACGTCTTATCAAACAAGACTTTGGTGGCAAAAGCAAAATCTTTGACAGCGTCTAAAACCTCTCTTGTGCACGAATGTCGATGCGGACACTTTTATATTTGCGTCCTTAAGGACCACGTTATAAAGTAAGAGATAAGATTGTTGGGGATGTTGGGAAGGAATTTGAGTTGAGATAGAACTTTATATCTCCTCAAAATCCCATCATTTGCTATTATCCAGACTCCGAATGGAATGGACGGACCCAAAAAAAAAAAAAAAAGACTCCAAATCGAATAACAAGTATCTTGTGCGATTAGTTATTTGATTCGGTCCGTCGGGTCAAGTCGACCAATCATGGGTTTGCACCTGATATTGTCCAAATCCAACATAAACAAAATGGCAGACTTTGAGGGGGTCGTTAATGTTGTCTTAGCAGTTAGCAGTACATACATAAACCAAAGTTGCTAGTATGTAACTGCTCTCGACCTTGATTTTTCTTTTTTCTGTTCTTGACCACGAACTCTCCATTATTCATAAGCAAAATAGGGTAATACAGATGCTAACCACTTGAAAGGAAACCTCCACCTAATGCAGGCACATATCTAAACTCTAAAGAAGCAACATCTTTAATTATTTTCCATTCGAACTTCCCATTTTTTTCTCCTAATGGAATTCTTGAGAAAGAAAGAGAGATGTTCTTATTTGAAGCTCTTCAGATTATTTAAGTCAGAAGACTTGGCCTTCCTAATTTAGTTTTGGGTGTTGAGCACTTTGATGATATATGCCTTCATTATAATAGGACAAAAAGTATCATACTTAAGCAAGGACATTCAAATGGACAAACAAAGAAGCTCGTACGTCGTCATGAATTTTGGCCAAAATGGTGGAAAACACTGAAAGAAATAATTTATTTTCCCCATTGCTCTAAATTAAACTGAAATGTGATATTTTTCCAGGAACAGCATGCCAAAAATAAAAGTATTACAGTATAATGTTCTCCAGCACTAAGCTGCCCTATTCCTTTCCATGCTACACAGAAAATGACTTCGAAAGACAGAGTAAGGCTCTCATCTACGTAATGTTTTCAATGAAGAAACAAAACCGTCATAATTTAGCTAGGAGCTGCAACTAATTTCAGTCATATAATCATCAAGATGTGATTCCTACACCAAGAAAATCAATGAAGGGAACATTCTTGCGCACGATGGATTCATTTCCTTCTCCTTGCCCAGAAGCCATCGTATTCGCGTTTGCCAAACTGTCACGGAGATCGCTGTCATCTTTTCCGATTATCCAAGTTGCTTCATAGTCATTTCCATGTCTCGGATACTTCAGGGTACTTGTGTAATTCGGACGGGCGAGTGCACCATAACTTGGCAAATTATTGTTCAAGGATTGATAGCTCTCACTAATGCGATTACCAAACCCAGAAGCGCCATAGTCTCTCTTTTCTCCTCGGGCGAATTCCACCATGGACGATGCTGTCGTAGCCATCGCCGCTGACACAGATGGGGCAAATTTCCAAGAAAGCAAAGAAGAATCGAAATGTCTATCTTTCTTCTTTTCCAATGCATAATTAGAGTTAGGCTCCACAACAAATGCCGATTTCCCAATACCATGCAAACCCTTGAAGTCAATGAGAGAATCTTGGTAACTCCTCTTGTAACTAGGCAATGACCTTGATTCTTCCCTTTGCTTTCTGGCCATTATGACATGCCAGTGATTCTTCACGGCGTTATCGGTTCGACCCGGAAACAGTCGAGCTATCAGTGCCCACCTGTTTCCATGAATGCGATGCGCTGCCAAAAGCCGTTCTTCTTCGTCCTCCGTGAAAGGCCTTCTGTTGATTCTCGGGTCCAGCTGATTGAACCACCTCAATCTGCAACTCTTGCCTATTTAAGACAATGAGCCATGAACCCCCCCCGTAAAGTTTAACAATTTAGTTTATTCTATACAATAAATGAACAATATATGTGCAGGGCCTTGACTTTCCAAAACAAGTACTCTTATGATCTTAACCCTTTTCTCTCAAATATCAATCAATCTGATAGCACAAAACTTCAAAACATAATTGGTAGTAATGGTACATATGCACACATTTGGAAAAAGGATGAGAAAATTTGAGATGCAGTCGATTTATTTCCGATCATTTTATCATTAAGTTTCTGATTGGTTAGTTCATATGTTCCCTTGTTCGGAGAATTTAAGATGCTCAAAAAGAATGCTGAAGTTGGTCCAAAGTGGTTATTCGACAGTAAGGAGTGAAAATGATATTATCCAATCACCAAACCTAAAAGGTATGATCTTTTCAAGAGAAAATTCATTAGATACAGAATTTGATATACCTGATCTTCCTTGAAGCTTTTCGGCTATCGCGTTCCAATTATGCGCTCCATATTGCTCAACAAGGTGCCGGAGTTTTTCATCCTCAGCAGGTCTCCAGTGTCCGCGAGTGCAAACTTTGCCCTCATCTCCAGAACCAACACCACCGCCACCGCCCAATTTGTTAGCTCCGGAATTGTCCATCGATCTATCCGTTCCGAGTAGCGCTGAATTACAAACCGCCGGAACTTCTATAGAGCCAAAGAGTGATGAAGAGAAGCCCTGAAGAAGATATGTAGGGAGAGAACAGAAGAAGAATTCTTGACCAGCGGAAAAATAAAGAAAGTGGGTTGGTTTAGGGTTGTGGATGAGAAGTCACTTTTGTTGGTTTTGCAAGACAAATCAAGCCTATGCGTTAATAACTGTAGAACCACTGACCCTTTCTTTTATGTCAGCAGCCCATGAACTAATTTTCTCTCATCTCATCTCTCTCTCTCTCTCTCTCTCTCTCTCTCTCTCTCTCTCTCTCTCTCTCTCTCTCTCTCTCTCAGACAATGGTGCTATGTTAAATCAAGAACCTAAATAGTGATTTGAGCATGAGTTTTCTAGGTCTGTTTTCTCTAAAAGAGACATTTCTCCTAGTGCGAAGACCGCTTTCCTAATTCCTTTCATTAAGATGGAGCCCTAAATTTATAGCACTTGGTGGGTTGAGATTTTTTTTCTTTTCATTGTTCCTTTTAATTACTTTCCCCACCAATAAGTGTAAATGGAGAGCCAAAACGAGGAAGTTCTCTCGAGATTTGCTTAACAATATCCACATTAACGCATATGAACTCAAATGGTTGTTGAGATTTGATTGAATATTACCTACTATTTATGTTGTTACGAAAATTTAATGGATGCCATATCTGTCCATATCTAGATATTCATTAATTCTATGCATTGTCCTTTTAGAGTGGTAGTTGATAGTCTGACGCCATGAGCACTATTTGTGTTCAATTGAGTTCTAAGTAGTTTGCCTCAGAAGAAGTAAATACAGCTCAAAGCTTACCATATCAAAAATACCCAACAAAAACCAGCTTGCCATCTTTAGCACCTCATGCTTCCAATTGCAGACCGTTCATATGGAACGCTGAATCAGAAAAGCCTGTATCAAGCACCTTTGAAGGAAACTTTGATGAGTCCTTAGTTGTCACCTGCATATACTAAGATAGATGTTGCTAGTGGATTATCATGGTATGCTAATTAAAGGTGATGATAACTCTCTCTCTCTCTCTCTCTCTCTCTCTCTCTCTCTCTCTCTCTCTCTCTCTCTCTCTCTCTCTCTCTGATGGAAACGATTCTATATCTTGCCATGTTTATGCTATGCTTCTTAAGGTATTTGCTTTGGCCTGTGGTCATGCATGATACTTTCTTGAATTGCCAAGTTAAGATAGTTTTTTAGGGCAGCATAATAATCTTCTGTTGCTAGAATTGTCGAGTGAGAGTTTTATCCTTAAAGGATGATGCATTTTCTCTTTGTATATCAGGCAATTTAAGTGTTTAAAGTTGAAGATGACTTTGATGAACGCTTTATAATGCCAAATCGCCTCTTATTGTGTCATTATTTGCACTTCTGGTTGTTTATATTGATGGAAAATCCGTGAATAATGAAAATAAGGAAAAATGCTCTCTACCAGTCAAGCCCATGGAGGCCTCCAAGACCATGGTTATTTAGGTGGTGTTTGGTTTTCTTCTTTAAAAAATGGATTTAACGATATTTTTAAAAATTTGGAATGATTACTTTTGTGTTATCTGGAATTAGGGTTTGAATGGTTATATATGCTTGTTAATTGATAAAGCGATGGATTATTTCAATTAATTTCTGTTTTTCCTTCCTTAGAAACAATAAACATATCTGACGGCTTTTCGATCTTACATTTATTTTTCGTTAAGATGTCATTTTGTGTGCTCCCGAAAACGTAATTGTTTCGGAGAAAATTTTTCCAATTGGACATTGAATCTACGAAATATTGGTCAATTGTCCTATTCTCCCTAAAATGCTGTTCCTCTTGCTTTGTTATATTTATCTAAATCTTTTGAACTGGAAAATGACCTTTGCACGAAATCTGATCGTTTAGAACTGTGGTTGACGTTGTGATACCACTATCAATTTACTTAAAAAAGTAAAACTAAACTAGATGAGAGCATTATTTATATATTCAAACGCATCTTATTAATTGAACCCCGTGCGGTTCATTTAGTAGTTGAGGAACGGAAATGGGTACATATACTAAAGACATGGCACAAGTTTGATTCCCTCTACCATCAAGTGAAACTATCTCATATTTTGGTCACTTTATCCATGTTTTGGTTTGCATCTTCGAATATTCATAGTGAGCAGAATTTATCTATCGAAAATTGTAGATTTTCTCGTTGTGAAATAGAGGGTTAAGTACATATTTAATTCTTTGAATTTCAGAGTTTGTTCAATTTGGCTTTATAACTTTAAATTTGTTCAATCAAGTCGTTTAACTTTTATAATTTGTATGATTTAGTCCTCTAAGTTTCATTTTGTGCAATCAAATCCTTTTTTTTTCTATTTGTGCAAATAAATCCTTCAGTCAGCCATTCTAACTAAACTTTTAATTAGTTAATGACATGGCACTACATATGTGATAGAAAGTAACACGTGATGCTAACTTGGCACCAAGGGAGCAGAAAAAGCCCCAAACAATTATTGTTAGGAAAAAGAAAGACTATGTCCGCTTTAGTTGTTTATATATTAACCTAACCGTTGTTTAAGCAACTCCATTCTTTCTGTTGAAAGGTATATATATATAGGGAAAATATCAAAACATACTTGAATTTTCCCCCCCAATACAAAAAACACACCTCTACTTTTAAGGGCATGGTTGTGACTGTGAGAAAGGTGATGGCATGTTCGAAAAATAAATGGCACAATTATAAATGGAAGGACAATTTCACTAAATCGAGGGTGTCGATACGTACCGTAAAAAATAGAGATACGTAAGCGGCTTTGAAAGAGATACGTAAGCGGCGTATAGATGAAAGTTTAGGTACGTTTTTTTGGCATTTTCTATGCAATGGAAACTTGATTTCAATGGGTTGAAAACGTGACATTACTTCCTCCACCCGTGATGACTATAGTTTTGTTTTTTTTTCTATTTTCGAGTTTGAATCTATTGTAGCACGTTTGGCAAGTTCTTCTTTGACTCAAAGGTGATGAGACAAAGTAAACAATTCACACCTACTCGATTTTGGCCCAAAAACATAAAATTTGACCCGGTTTATATTCTTGATATTACCAATTCACCCACAAGTCACCTCAGTTTTTTCAACCACCCATTTTTCTCAAATTAACTAGCTACTAAAAGAATAAATAATCGGTACTTGAGCAGACAAATACTATTACCTTTTCCCAGAATTATATGTTTCGGTAGTCAAAAGATGTTTGAAATAAACTGCTCTTAACGAATGTTTGGAAAGTGGCATAAAAGATTATCAGCAGTTTCTCTAATTAGTTCGAGACTCCACTTGCTTATATTGACATTTTGCATACCAAATATAACAAATAACCTACTTTTCCATGAGAGAAACCCCAATGGCTTCTCATATGATAATTTCGAAAGTACATAAATGACTTGAAAAATAGTGACTCGACATTAGATGAGTATGATATTAAATGCGTTAATTTTCCTGTATCATATAAGATATCTACAAGAAAAATCGCCATAACCTTTAATTGAGCTGGTCACGCCAATAAATACCAGTTTATGTAAGTTAAGCTCGAGCGCGATTCATTTTAAGTCCGAATATAATATGAATCCGCGGATTATAATATCTACAAAGGTACAAATAACATCTTGAGTTAAACAAATAGGGTACATTAGGGGCAGCTTCTTATGTTATGGGCCTGATTAGGTTAGCTCTAAGCCCAAGTGCAAAACTACTGTTGTTAAACGTGCGCAGCCCAACAGCCCATCACGTAAGCTTAGAAGAAGCTAGCCTAATTTAAAATGTAGATCCAATTTAGTTGGAAAAATTATCCAAAAAGTTCTCAACATATTATACGGCGGCCAATTTAATCTTACACTTTTCAATTTTATAAACCTTTTGATGATTTGTCAATATAGTTTTTCCGACCAATTTTGGCCAAAATCATTTGCACGAATCGCTGACATGGAGGTCATGCCAGCGATTTCCGATCAAAACTGACCGAAACAGTTACATTGGCAAATCATCAAAAAGCTTATGACTAAATCGACAAAATCAAAAAGTTCATGATTGAATTAGCCAAGTATAAATAGGTTTATCCCGCAGATTCAACATACGTTCAAACCGTTTCTCATGATTAATTCCACCTAGGGTCACTAGAAAATTTGTTTTCCTAGTATTATGGACAATGACTTGGAACTGAAAGCAACCGAAAGATCAAATTTCTCCTTCCCATGCTTCTTCTATCTTTTTAATTTATCGATTTTTCGTATGCTATTGATGGAGTGCTCCGGTCCGAAAGGTCCAAACTTTGGATAAGATAAGGTAAGAATGACTAAGACATGAATGATTAGAAATGAGAAAACGAGAGCGGAAATGATTTTACCCTAAATTCCACTTGTCGCAAACCCCATTATTCTTGAAAATATAATTTCTTTTTGGTTCTCTTTTCGTTGATGATCATGACATCCTTCGATTCCATTCACACTAGGGGTTAGAGATTTCTTCTTTCGTTGAGCAATCCGCTAACTTGGTTTGGTTTAGTCCTTTTAAAATGCATGTGCCCGGGTTTAGGCAAAAACAAGTTCATCGCTCATAGATTTCGGATCTGGAGGAAAGATGAGTCTAATTGAACATACTGGCGGCCTCAAACTTGAGGTCTCATATGGTGCTCTTCGTGGACGAAGGGTATCGAACTTCTGCCGTGTCGACTCAACAAGTGGTATCAAAGCCGATAGTTAATTAATGGGTCACTCCCAAGATGGAGATTTAAAATAAGATTAATTGGTGGGGCGAAAGGATACTTGAATTAAAAGGAGGCAGGCCCCTAACACAAGACGCTCACATGCGAGGGGGGGATTTTTAAATGCGCACTTGTGAGGATATTAGACCAAAGAAGTCCTTGATCAAGAACGTGGTGTAATACGGAGTGATTAATGCTACTCAAATCGACGCATAACATATTAGCTAAAACTTTCGATTGAAAATGGATCCAACCAAATATGTTGCAGGCTAGTTTTGTGCTCGTCCTCGGTAATCTCCCCAGTGAGAGGACATTGTGCAAGAGGCCTCTCCAAAATCACTTGGCGCGACATCAGCCGTTCAAGGGACTTCTTAAAAGCTTAGTAAAATCCATGTACGTCAATTGCTAAGACAAACTTGGATCAACACATTGTGTCCTAGTAGGATAGGTGCAAGGGCACGCAACCAAATTCTCTCATAGTGATCAGCGAGAAATCCTCGTGATCCATGACAGCAATTGGCACCGGTGGTTCAAGACAGAAGGAGGGATGATTAAAATACAGTGCTGATGATGTATGCAGCTGCTTATTCCAATGGCTGGAGATGCCCGTGAAGATTAGAATAATGCACGATTGATAGAAGACATCATACCAGTCGAAGTACTCAGGATTAAGTTAAAAGCTTCATGTTATTTGTTATCTGAGTGTGTTTGTTTTAGGGAAAACTTCAATGATTATCGGAAAATCATTTTTTGGGAAAATGTATTCTCCTCTTTAGTTTAGGGAATCCATTTCCCTAATTAAAGCATGTATAATTTTTTAATCATAAATGGTTCTCCGTTGACCGATTATTTTCAGTAAATCAAATGCGTGAAAGTCTAGAAATTTAATTTGTAAAAAATTCTTTCACTCAAACAAACATAAGGGAAACAATTTCTAGTTCCAACTTTCCGATATTTGAATGACGAAAAGCTAATCGATTTACGGAAATCATTTTTCATATATCGAAAATAACAAACTTAGATTGGGAGAAAATGACTTTCTATTCCGGTAAGAAGGAAGTCACTTTCCCCGAAACCAATAAACAAATGAAAAATAAGCATTTTTCCTTGAAAACGATTTCATTTTTTCTCCATAGAAACGTTCTCCCTTTTTCAAGTCAGGGAATTCATATTCCTAATTTTACGCATGCACCTTTTTTTTACTGTAAATGATTTTCCGTCAAACGATTATTTTCACCTTACCAAACGCGTGAGAATACAAGCTAATTCATGGAAACTTTTCCGTGCTCGAGTCACGTGTCTTTACACACCGAGTGAGATCCAATACCCTTCTAAGCTATTATTCCTTACTTTAAGCATACATATTTTCTTTGATTGTAAATGATTTTCGGTCGACCGATCATTTTCACCATACTAAACGCGTGAGATTACAGAAAAGCTAATGGGCGGAAACTTTTCCGCGTTCGAGTCACCCGTATTCGCACATCGAGTGAGATCCAATACCCTTCCTTAGGCTGTCTATGTCCTAGGATACCATTACGAAGTCCATCATGACTTCGTCTTCGAATTGAATGATTCCATCATGTGTTAGTGGCGGGGGGGACTACGAAATTTACAGCCACATCCACTACCCATTCGGGCTGATCTACATTGCACTTGGTTTTCCACCATCCAACTTCGATGCCATCTTCCACCATCACCGTACAATCGTCCCACGAGATGCCCCACCAGCCCAGTATTCGTACAGTCCCAACCTTGGTCAGCAGACTCGCCACCACCACCACTACTTTGAATACCCAATGCTTTTTTGGAGCCTTCTACGATGGAGCTTTAAAGGTCAAAAGGCGAATGTTAGGAACATAGCATGATCACCAGGGGCAGGCCCACTCGCTGCTTTTCTTGCTGCGAAAGCGTGTCAAGATAGTCAGACAAGTTTGGTGCGAACTTTCAAGATTTTTAAAGAGAGAGAGAGAGAGAGAGAGAGGCAGAGATACCAAGAAAAGCAAAGCCAACTCGCAGATGGGAAGGTTCTGTTGAATGAAAAATATCCGGGGGTGAGTCTCTTGAAAACATGCTTGCTCAAATTTCCAGAAAGTTTGATCTTTTTTTTGGAATATTTATTAAGTTCAGATTGGCGATTTGCTTAAGCTCGAATCCCCTCAACCAATTTCTCTCTCTCTCTCTCTCTAAGCTTATCTGGGTTTTGAAAGCTGGACAATTTAATTATTAATAAGTGAGTTGTCAACTATCTTGATTCTTTATTTTCCTTTTGTTTATGTGTGCTATCTTGATTCTTTATGTTCGTTTGCTATATGTGCTTTCTTCTTTGTCAACCTGCCTGATCCCACAGGCTTCTTGTATAATTTCTTCTTCATGAGGAGACAAGGTAAAGAAGCAATTTGCTTCCTTTTGCTCCGCGTTGCCAGTGGTCAAAAACCCATGTTTTCCTCTCTCTCTCTTTCTCTCTCTCTCTCTCTCTCTCTCTCTCTCTCTCTCTCTCTGAAAGCCATGCTCATCTCTTAGACAGGTTTCAGCTGGGAATTGCAGAGTTTGGAGTGTAGTGATCTTGTGGACTTGTTTCTCTGCTCAGGTACTACATGTTTCCTTCTCAAATCTGTAGTTTCTCTGAATCCCGTGACAAGATAAACGTAGATCTCTTTTTGGGTTTCTTGATTTGTCCCCAAATTACTTGTTGGTTGGCATAATCACTCTCTTGTTTCAATTGCCCTGCACAGATTATTTAACTCAGGCATCTGTTTCATGTTTATTTCCCTTTGACTTTCTCTTGTAGTAGACAGATGAAAGCTCTAACTTCCTTGAATTTTCACAATCAACCAATTAGGAACTAGCCCTACTATGTTGATGCTGTTCTTTGTTGGATGCTATATCTTTATCTCCTCACTTCTTGATCTGATTAGTTGTTAATGAGGCCAGAGGACTTAGGTCGAGTGGGGTAGTTAGGTTGCAGCACTACGCTCTTTGGGGTAAAAGAACTTTGAACCTGGATGTTCTGCAAAAGTTTAGCTGTCGTTCTTTCTTGTAACATGAATCATGATTGCTTTCTCATAAACTCTTAGAGGTTGAATCTGCATCCCTTACTTTTGAGCTTTCTGGAGCTCGTGTGCGTGGGCGTGTTGTGCTAAAGATGTGATTGAGTCTGACAACAGTTGAATGCCATGTTTGACATATGCAGAACGTAGGGGAGATTTGAAGGAGACAGAAACAGTGACACCTTATAAATTTGGCTGACATTAATCCTCGGGATCAGTTTCAACCACAGAGATACTTGTATTGAAGGGACAGATTCATGTCTTTAATTAGGTCCGCAGAGTTATCCGCTACTCCCTATGCAAGTTCGGAAATGTTAGGCTCCAAAAAGCACCAGATGATGTATGTTTCCGAATCCTACAGTGGAGAGGATTATGACCCTAAGTATTTCATCGACTCTCCATCTGAAGATACGATTAACCCATCCAGCTATGGTGTTTCAAGAAATTTATATCACACCCGGGGATCCTCCATTAATACTGAAAACCCATTTAGCACTTCGGAATCAGAACTCATGGATGGTCAAAGTCTGGATTGTGTAGAATGCGATGAAGATAAAATGAGGTTGAAGCTTCAAGAGCTTGAAAGGGCACTGCTCGATGATGGTGGTGATGAAGAGGAGGATGACATGTATGTTGATGGTCAATGGGTTGACCAAGTTCAGATCACTTCACATGACTCCCCCAAAGCATCCTCGTCGTCTGATTCCAACCTCAGCAGCATTAGCACCAACAGAGAAGTATCACAGCCGCCATCACGCACCCCGAAACAGTTGCTTTTTGATTGTGCTACTGCAATTTCTGAAGGAAACGTCAGAGAAGCGTCCATTATCATAGATAAGGTGCGACAGATTGTTTCCATTCAAGGGGACCCACCTCAGAGAATCGCGGCCTACATGGTGGAAGGGCTCGCTGCTCGGATGGGTGCTTCTGGAAAATTTCTTTACAAAGCCTTAAAATGCAAAGAGCCCCCATCTTCTGACCGGCTTGCAGCTATGCAAATTTTGTTTGAAGTTTGTCCGTGTTTTAGATTTGGGTTCATGGCAGCAAATGGAGCGATTATAGAAGCATTTAAGGGTGAAAAAAGGGTTCATATAGTTGACTTTGACATAAACCAAGGGAGTCAATACATCACTCTCATACAGACACTTGCAACTCTACCAGGTCAACCGCCTCACCTGAGGTTGACAGGGGTGGATGATCCGGAGTCGGTCCAGCGCCCTGTTGGGGGCTTGAAACATATTGGCCAAAGGCTTGTAAAATTGGCAGAAGCCCTTAACGTACCATTTAAGTTCAGAGCAGTAGCTTCAAGGACGCCTCTCGTCACCCCGGCCATGCTAGACCCACAACCCAGAGAAGCACTAGTTGTGAACTTTGCTTTTCAGCTCCACCACATGCCCGATGAGAGTGTTTCCACTATCAATGAGCGGGACCAGCTTCTCCGCATGGTTAAGAGCTTAAATCCAAAGCTCATAACTGTTGTTGAGCAAAATATGAACACAAACACTGCTCCCTTCTTAGCGAGATTCGGGGAGGCCTATAGTTACTACTCTGCAGTCTTTGATTCTCTTGATGCCACTTTGCCTAGGGAGAGCCAGGACAGGATAAATGTGGAACGCCAGTGTTTAGCGCGTGATATTATTAACATCGTGGCATGCGAGGGCGAGGAGAGGATAGAGAGATATGAAGTTGCAGGGAAGTGGAGAGCGAGAATGATGATGGCTGGATTTACTTCATGTCCAATGAGCGAAAGCGTCACGGAATCTATCATCAACCTCATTAGGCAGTATTCCGAGAGGTATAAGATAAAAGATGATATGGGTGCACTTCATTTTGGATGGGAAGATAAGAGCTTGATCGTTGCTTCAGCATGGAGGTGAAATAATCTTTATTCATCTAACTACTGATAGATTAGGAACCCAAGTGGCTGGATGATAAATATTTATGCTTACGTGTAATGTAACTTTCCACTTCTTTGTTTCGGGATCCGATGCACCTGATACGTGAATTTATTTGATTAAATCTGTCTTGTAATACGTTTTCTGACTAAAACTTGAAAGGCGATTTAGTATGCGAAGCTCCTTATTTCGGCATGTCTTCAACTTTGCTTCTCGCTCATTTCTAAGTTTAGTTGTGTAATCGCAATCTTTTGCTACAGGATATCTGGAACCATTGGCTTGTTTATTTATTTTTGTCCAGATACTAACCTTCGCTTATGGACAGACCACACACATGTTATGCACACTAAAGCCTTGGCATTGTTGTTAAATTATATACTTCCTGCTCCTTATGGAGACAATGACCATGGTGCGGATGGTTTGAAATTCTGTATTGGGACGAGGATTTAGGCCCATCACCATGTCATGTAGAATGAGTGTATGTCCTGAACTTGGTATCAGCACTTGTCATCAGTTCAGTCCGTGTGAAAATAACAAGTTCTCTGATATGGTCTATTTAAGTGGATTCAATCTCTTCCTACGCCGGCAGGTCCAGTATCCTCCAAAAATGCATGGATTGGTTTGAGTTGTGATTTCACGTATTTTATTCCGTTATTTCTTGGCACATCAAACTTCAAATAAGAGAGAGTCGTCGGAGCAATTAATTATAGCCAGACCAAACAAAACAGGTACAGAAGGATCTTTGCCGAGAAGAGAATGCAACCTTCAATTAGTGTTTGAAAAAGAGGAATAGTAGGATCTTTGCCTCGTTGATGTTACATGCGCTGTTGCAATTGATTTCCCATCGTACCTTGTACATGGACAAAGATATGCTTGATGACTTGCCTTGTTTTATCTCATGCATAAGAAACTTTCAAGGTAACTGGTGCATATTTGATGTTTCTTTAAAGCTGAGATTTGCTAGTTTGATCCGATTTCGGTGTGCATTAAAAGCTAAAATGAATCAAGCAAGAATAATTTGGATTTATCCATCGCCAATTCCGCAAACTTAATCAATTTTTTTACAAACCAAGAGGACAAGCAAAGCTTTAAGGAGAGTGATCTAGTCTTTTTCAGGTGATTCCGCACCAATTCATTCCCAGAGCACTGAACAGTTTTTGGATGTGGCGATCTGCAGGGATGCAAATAAGAGCTGTACAAATCACTTTCTACTGGATAATAATGCTCAACTTAATGATGATACGTTACAGCAAATTGCAAAAGATGAATGATGCTTTGTACCTATCATAGTATGTTGAAAACAGAGCAGAGAAGACAGAGTTCACCTGTTGAGTGAAACATGCATAGATGTACCCCTTTAAAGAAATCTTCCCTCTTTTTGAAGCTCTATTGGGACAACCGGCAGGTAATGGTTGGTAATCACGTCGATACTCGAGTTTTTGATGCTTAGTAAAGAGATTGCAGACACGGCGTGATAGTGGTACAATCACTTCATCTGAGAAGACCTACAGAAAACAGAACCGCAGTACTGCATTCGTGTTCATCATAATCTTAAAAACCATACTACAATGACTGATTGCACAAATTGTTTAACTGAGGACCACATGCCCCAAATCAGCTATAAGATCAAAATGAGCCCCTTCACATTCATATTGCCATTTCATGAGGACAATAGTTTTGGATGAGGGCTTAAATCTACAATAATTGCCCTGCTCAAGCATTATCGCTATTTTCTCTGTTCTCTCTTTTCTGCTGTACAAGAGAGATCACGTTGTTATGGACATGCTAGGCAAAACTCCGTCAGATGCTTTACCTGCACACACGAGAGAATTCAGGTCTAGCAAGGATAAGATAATCAACGGCGAATGTTGGGAGTAAACCTTTGACTTAGCAAGTCTAAGGCCACGTCCTTCGTCAAGTTTTACATCTCTCACACTAGCTGTCCAATTTATGAACGGAGGTCTTCCACATAAACCCTTATCACTTGCTGTTCCATTCCATTAGTTGTGAAGTAACGAGAGACTTGTGCGATGAAATTCTGCATCGTGGGTACACCTGAGGTGGTGAATTGAATTGGGAAGGCGAGAGCGACCATGGCACAATTGGCAATGGACCCACAGAGTTGGCTACGGGTGTACAAGGACATTCTCAGTATTGGTGGCGTTTGTTGATATTGAGCTGAACAACATATTGCTTACAAAGCTTGCCTGTTTCGGAATGCATGAGATTTGAGGAAGCCACATTACTCGAACAACAACATTCGACAGCATTTTGTCGTTTTGTTGTGGCTGGAAAATAAACCCGAGAATCGGTTTAAATAGCTCATGAGGGGACAGACTATCAAGTCATGTAAAAACGTGAGAAGGCCATGCCCTCCTGTCAGGTAATGATTGAAACCATCAAGAGCATGAACCAACCAGCAGTCGCAAGAAAATAATGTTGGAATTTCCAGGAACGATTCTGGTGTGCATAAAAAAGTCTGTGTTCGAGTAAAATTCATTTGACCAAGGCGTAATATACGGTATGACTTAGGATATTATTGGTAGGGTCCTGATCTATTGAAATGGATTAAGTTCAGGTCATTTATTTGCAGCAAAAGTACGCAATTCTCATTGTTCAAACTGACGCACTAAGAAACTGAGTAGGACTTTTGGTAATTGTTTAGAAACTTATCAGAAGGGATTCATGATTTTCTGTTCAGCAAAGAATGATTGCAATTGCATTATTTCATTGCTTCAATATTTCTGGGCATGATGGATTAGTTACTTTGGTTATGTTGCATTTGGTATTGGCGACAATTCAGTGGAATAACTAAATTTGTCATTGTCGGGCTTCAAGTTTCGGTATCGGCCACTATTCCAACCAACGACTTGGTCGGTACTTCATACAACTTCAAATTCTTCAAATTGTGGTTTTGAAACTCAACCCTGATATGCAATATAGCAACCAAGCTGTTGAAGATAGGTCGGGTGCAAACTAAAAGGAAAACATCGCTGTGAAGCAGAATGAAATTTGAAAAGCTGCAAGCATGGAATGGTAAAAACAAAGGCTCGAGGGTAAGGAAAGAGTACCATAGGCTCAGTGAAAGATGCATCGAGTCTAAATTATACATTCTAATTTACATCTCGATTAGATGAATCATATGTTACCTAATTGACATATTCCACATCCTATCTGACATGTTCATAAAGAAGCGAAGGTAAAAATAAGTTCAGTGTCATTGTCGTGCCTTGCTTTAAAACCAAGTCGAAAGAGAGTCCCAACAATATCACACTAACAACAATATCACACTAAACATGTCGATAAAACAAAAGCAGTACATTTCCCTCAACATTGGCATGACATTGCCATACGATCAGGACCAATAGAAAGAAGAGGTTCACTTGTCAAGTTGCCAATTTCGCAAGTTGATATTATCACAATGGGCCCGACCGTCTGAATGCGGAAGTTTTCGAGAATCAAGACTCCCAACTTAAGAACGCATCAAATTGGTGCGTCACATATTAGCTCAGATGGCATTTGAAATTGTGTTCGCCCAATAACAATCATCGATAAGACACCATCATGATCGTTTTATTAATGCAGAACCAAGCTGGAAATCAAGACAAAAACGAGAAGAGGCCATGGAGAAATGGGAAACTCGGTACTCCGTAAATTTGAGCTTTTAGACAAGGTATGTTATATTACGGAGAAAAAAAAACGGATCAGACAATGTCAAAATTGAACATTTGAGGTCATTCCAGGATGCTTCAAGGCAGCCATGGATATGTACACTCAGAGAGAAACACTCAGACGAATTAAGTGTTTGACGTAGGTAATACAAGGAGTTCCACCAAAGATCTCCATTTCCTCCATTCCAACTCCGCCCTTCGCTGGGCGGTTAGCGCCAATCATCAACTCTATAAAATGACATACCAGAATTTGGAGTGATACTGAAGCAACTCACTCAATGTGATAGTGCTCTAACAATGGATAATATGTCATATCCCGTCCTTCCTCCGAAATCGGTAGAATCAGCAAGTGAAAACTTGGAAGTACTTTGACCTTGTATTACCATGTCCCGAGGGCCTGTAGTAATTTCAGCCATTCTCATCTTCACTTTCTGCACAAGCAGCTACAGCCACAACCCGAAAAATCGACGTGATTTAGCAGAGCCTTCAGGGGGACGGTTTCCAATCATACTGAAGATTATTGAAGCCATTCCCAGCCCTGAGCCCGTTAAGCAGTTGGTTACTCAAATCCTGTTGGTTACCATTCATACTCTGATCTCGAATCATAGGGGCTACTCCTCTTCCATTCATGAAGGAGTTGTTTCCCATCACAGCTCTCACTCCATTGGCCATGGCAGATGAGTCTATTCCTGCAGCCATGTTGCCATACACAGCGCCTCCCATATTAGAGCTGTGGGCCATCCCGTTCCCCAGCAAGCTGTTGGAAGAAGTACTAAGGCCTGTATTAGAGCTGGTTGGCAAACTCCCATTCACATGTTTCACATCATTTCCCAATGAACCAACACCAACAATAGCCCCCCCACTGTTAATTTGGCCTGACATCACTTTTTGCAGAATTTTCTGCACAGAACTCTGGGAATCATTTGGTTCGACCTCACCATTATGAGGAGACACTTTTGCAGATGAGTTCACAGTACTAATGTGATTCGGAGCTGACAAACCGCCATTACTGTGTGCAGGATTATTGCCCGAGGAATGTGTAGGTGATTGAAAAGTCGAAGGATTATTGGGTTGAGCCGGTGGCAATGTTGTGGAGGAACCAGGGGATGGGATCTGAAGACCACTACTTCCATATGGACTGCCTGAATTGCTAATCGAACTTTGCTGTCTCGAGTTTATGGAATTTTGATGGAGAAGGCCAGGTATGGCATTGCCAGTTGCAGAAGTAGAGGCTGTGTTGTTTACAGCTCTAGAACAGTCAGTAGCACCTAGTTGCACAGAAGGAGCCTGAACATTGTTCCGATCATTGTTTGCATTCTGTGACACTGTTTGCTGCTGTTGGTGTGCCTGCTGCTGCGAATGCTCCTCAGATTGGTGAGCTTGACTATGAACCCCAGTTGAAGCACTGCTCCTCCGAGGGTATTTGGCCAAGCTTTCTGAGAGCCAAAGAAGAAAAGTAATGTAAATTTTTATTGCAAACCAACAGCAGCCAATACTGCGTTTCATGAATAAATTTATAAAAAA